TGATTACAGTAATCGAGGAATTGGTACAGAATAAACAGCAGGAACATGTAAAAAGTAACCTGACCATGAAGTATCATTCTGTTCTCTTTTCTCTCCTCCCTGCTTAGCAGTTTCCACTCTCAAGCTGAAAAATTTGCTGTAATGATATACAAACTTTAATATCTTAAGGTATAAGCAACCGCCCAAGACTCTGCAAACAATTCAGGAAAGCAGGAAAAGAACCAGCGCTGATATCTGTGTTATCTTTCTGCTGCTTGGCCCCCAAGTGTCCATTTACACAGAGGATGAGTTTGTTATTCGTGTCCATATACATATGTTTCACTTAGAAATATCAGAAAGGCCTTTCTAAATCGCTTTCTCTTCTCCCCCACGATTCTAACCTCTCAAAAGCTTACCTTTGTCAAGAAAAATACTTCTGCTTTCACCTGCTTCCTTCAGAAATGACTTGCTCTAATATCAACAATATTATAATATGTGTTTTCCAGGAGCTGAAACATTCTGTGGTCTGTTTAGCACATAGAGAGCAGTACTCTGTGGGATACATGCTGATAAGACACTCAGACCTACCTTTATATTGAGGATCTTACATCCTATCAACAGCTCTGTGCCAGAGCAAGACCTTTACATGAGATTTAAGGATGATTAAGTCATCCTGAGGAATAGTAATAGATAAAAGTGGTGCATCAACATTTAAGTTTGAGCATCGTTTCGAGAGAAAAATAATAGGTGTGATATTGAGGAAAGGTCAAGAAGCAGTTTAGGAGTAAGGTTTAATGAAAACCCATTCATGTTCCACGGAAAGCTATAAGCTGTAATTTTTTCTGGAATTCAAAAGTAATATCATTCAGCTGACCTTTTGAAAATCGAGGATTATGAAGCACTATATAAAGCAGCTGAGACCTCCTTTTGAATGTCACACTGAAATCTGCGTGTGCTCAGCATGGTAGGAGTACAATTGAAAGTACAGTAGGTGAAATTAAATGCTTTGTCTTGTTAACAGCTGTTTGCACAATGGACTGCTGAGTGAAAGGCGTCTGTTCTGCAGTCCATCATCTACCACTAATACCCACTATATTAGAAATACAGCCTCCTTTGTATACACAGCTTGTGTAATCCCACATTTTTGCTGCCTGTTCCAGTGTTGCTATGTGACGTACTAAGGGAGACACACTGAAATGCTGATCACATACACAGGGACAACACAAAGCAAGTGCCATTTCTCCCTTTTCCATCAGTGGAGTCTAATGTGTCTTTGCATCTAAATAAACTATTTGCATGACAAGCAGACAACTGTATGAAATTGCTGGCATGCAGTTAGCTAACAGCCTTCTTCTGGGCTATTTCAAATGAAGACCAGGATGATGTAATAGATCTGTTAAAAATTCATTTTTATGGCTACTTACCCTACTTGGACAAACAAATGAAAAAAACCACAAAAACAAAAAACAAACCTGAAATGGAAAAGTGCCTAGCTTTTTTTTCCAAAGATTATGCAAATGCTCTCAGATCATAAAGCATCTTTTTATCCGACTTTCAATTCCCTTCTCACTGCTGCATGTCTTAGAGCTGTTAAACGGTTTATTGCAGTGATTTTGCCTGATCAGATTCTGCTGGCTAACAACTTCTGGTTAATTTGTGGGTCTTCAGCTGGAGGTAGGGTCCTAACTCACCAGCTGTGTGTCTCAAGCCCTCCAGCTCCTATTCTGGTGACTTAAAAATCACCCGGACAAAGACCAGGAGCTGAGAAGAGCTCCAGCCACTGACTCATATTTAAACCTTTGAGGAAATGTGTTTCTCTCTAGCATGTTTGTATTTCAAACCTTTCCCTTCAAAACTTTGATAACCTTGGTAGGAGTTCAGTGGCTGAATCTCTACATGGAGAGATCAGAGTGTAAAAACACGCAGTTGCTCCGGTTTCCTGGGGAGGGCAAACACCACGGTGTTCACCTGAAAGAAGTGACAGAACACACTGCAAACTGCATCAGCTGCAGACCCAGCTCTCCATAATGTCATCTGTGAGATAACTGACATTGCAGTCAGTCAGGACATAGAGCAATCAAAAGTACAGTAGATACATTATCGGTGATGAAAGTGATTTTCCTGGTTGTTATTCAGAGCAAGACATACTAGAATGAATCGACATATTTTTGCACCAGGGAGATGGCAAAGTATAGCAAACATGAGGCACTTTTTGTCCCCCTATCAACTGTTTTATTGCTGAAGTATCATGCTTGTTTGTGCAGTTTTTGCTTTCCCTATTGAAATGTCTTTATCCCAACCCATGAGTTTTTTCACTTTTACCCTTCCATTTCTCTCCCAGATCCCACTGGTGAGGGAGTGAGTGAGTGGCTGCAAGGTGCTTGGTTGCTGGCCGGGGTTAAACCACGACAAACACAAAACCAATTTACTTCTCAGCAAAAGCAGGAAAAATATATGAAACATTTGATTTAAAACTTTCCCAAGTGTCAGACATGCAACGTTGCAGATTTTTTACCTCCCACTGTGCCCGGGGCTCTGTGGGCAAATATCAGAAACCAAATTGCCTTAATTCATAAACTGAGAGTTGTACTCTACAAAGATTAGAGCCATCAGATTTTGAGAGAAGGTAACTCAGTCTTCCTGCTTTCTGCACATTTGTCACAGAATAACAGAGTATTCTGAGTTGGAAGGGACCTCCAAGGATCATCCCATTTGTGTTATCAAATACGGAAAACATTTTCTAATAAAAAAAAAAGTCTGGACAACATTCTGCCGATTTTTTTTTTTTTTTTACTGTTCCCTGATCCCTCTTTTTTTCAGTGAAGTAGCAGTTTCCCAGGCAAAATCCTCACAAGGAGAGACAGCACCTTTGTGCATCAAGAGGAGTTAGGTTTAGACTGTTAATGTAACCTTTTAAAAAGTTCAGTTATTTCAGTGAAAATTTGGGGGCATTACAGGTAATAAGCAAAGGGATATTTTTTATCCTTATGTTATGGGAAAAGCACGCACAGTTTTAGTGATATTTACCTTTTGTGTCAAAGCTGGAGGCTGGCCCACGGAGCACTCTGACTGCTGCAGTGACTGCTGGTACCTTCAAAGTATCACTACGGTAACCTGGTATGGCCCAGCCCAAGGCAGATACAGAAAATAAATATATAAACATGCCTGGCATGATATTATTTGCTTGCATATTTAAATAGCCAAATAGAACTCTAATGCAGTATATAAATTATGAAGGAAACTGTCTTATTCACAAACAAAACTTGCTAAAACCCATGACTTTCCTCAAAGTAGATGCATTAAAACTTATGATCAAAAAAACTTGCATCTTACATAGGAGTTTGTTTCTTACCACATCTGTGGTAAGCTTGTAAGTGTTCCATGCTCATCACACAGCACAACATGATTAAAGGAGAGCTTCTGGTTTACCAAAAGTGAAGAAAATAAAACTCAAGTTTCCAAAAAAATTAATAAATGTTTAATTAAGCAGTTTTAAACTGGGTTTTAAGATGACCCATGCATGAATGATGAACTACATTCTGACAAACACTTTTCATATTAACTTTGCAGTCTGATACCGGTTTATAGGTTGCTGTGTATAATCATATTCGATGTTTAAGCTCAACAGAACTTTGTACCTTCCCTGCAATTTATGTAAAGTTCTGCTAATTGTCATCTAAGCAAAGACAGAACCATCAAAACCAGTTTCTGCCTTGCACCAGAAAGCACTGGTGTGTATCTACACTCATGTTCCAAAGTTGCTTTCTATAATCTTTCTAGCTTCATGGAATATGGCGAATAGATTAACACTAATAGATGCAATATTCAAACCACCTCTCCTTGGCATTGTGAATTAAACTGTCCTTACAGGCATCTAATTTTGGGATTAGTTGAATCTTTAATGCTTTTTTTGCTTGCTATTAAAAAAAAAAAAAAAAGTCCTGTCTGACTCCCATGTGAATAAAGCACTTTAAAAACTTGTAAGGAAATGTTCTTGTTAAGAACTGCATATTTTGAAAAGGAAGTTGAACTGCCAGCGACACCATTACCAGCTGCTATGAGACACAACACACACTTTTCTTTTAACTAGCATTTTCTTTACCTGGCTGCATGCTAGAAGGACTTGATCTATATCAATCGACAAAAAAGAAACTTTTTCTCAAAAATCACTGCCCAGATTCTTTTCCTTGCTTCCACTGGTGTAAACAAAAGGCAATACACCTCCATAAAATGAATCCAAACTCATTATTTTTTCCTTTCAGATATTAAAAAAAAAAAAAAGAGGATCACAGAGTCCTTGTCTACATCTTCTCTCCTTTACTGTCCTTCATTCAGCTACTAAAATTTGAATCCATGGCTTTGCAAAAACAGGGAAATAAAAAGATTTTTTTCCTTCTTTTTTTGTTTTGTTTTGTTTATGCAGGCTTTTCTGAGTTAGTGAGTTATTTTTCTCTACATAATAATACAAAGAATTATATTTCCCAGAGGAATTGCATTTCTTTCTTTATGCACACCTTTTTTTTCTAGTTCAAATGGCATTTGAAAGAGGGAGAAGGAAATGAGGAAATTAAGGAGACAGATGCATAAGTCACTGAACAGTTTTAAAAACACTGACTGCATTATTTCAGACAAATGTGTTATGTCCTGATTCAGGAATAACATAAAAATAGATCTGACATCTTCTGCATGAAATAAATCCAGCTTCAGTCTCCTTTTTTTAGTGCCCAGGTCCATCAGGAGGTGAGAAGGATGGAAAAATGTAAGCAAGCCCCTTCAGCGTACTGTGAGATGAAAATGCAGAGCTAAAATACAGATTTGTTCCAACAGACTTTATAATAGAGTTGTCACATGTGCACCAAGGACTGGCAGTGAAACATTCATTTCTGATGCAGTACCCTTTGTCCTGTCATATTAAGGTTATTATACCCTGAGCACAAGATCCATCTGGAACTAAATTTAGCTGAACATTTGGGGTCATCTGTGAATTTCTTGCAGAGGGCAGTCATCTCATCTGCACTGGAAAAGGTAAAAACAGTGTAATTTCATTACTTGCAAGCGAGCCTTTGCCTGTCACATCCGCAGAAAATGGCACCACAAGAAGATTATCTTTAAACTGTTAGATTTTACACAAAAACATATAATGGCTTCACTCTGCATATGAATAAACTAAGAAATGGGTCAGCTTGTCAGCAGCTAAAGCTCATAAATTTCAGTGTGTTAACTTTGCTAATAATGAAACAACCATAATTTCTACAATCACAAATTTTATCACGTCTGTAAAGACATTATTTAGCTTAGTACTAAGAAGCACTTCTAATTAAAACTACCTGGCCTCTTTCCTTAGTGACATAATGGAATTAAGATGAAGAGAGATCAGTTTGGGGATTATATTGTGTGTGTTAATTCGATCTATTAATCAACACTACTTAACAATTTTTGCCTTGGGAAGGATAGTTGGTTTGCTTGGGGTGACCTTAAAGATCATCCAGTTATAATAACAGTTAAGTTAAATAATAATAAATAGTAAAAAGAATAGGAAATTCATAATAATAGTCAAGTCAGTAAAGGTAATAGAGAATGATAGCCAAAGTGCAAATCTCATATTTGCTTGGTTTCAAATTTAGGAACCTAAATTAGAAACCTCGTTAACTGAAGACAAATTCTACCTGCCCAAACTCACATTGAATTTCTGAGTTAGCTGGTATTCAGATTTTAAATTCCACTGCCACTTATATTAGAAAAACAGAAAAATACTCACCCAGGAAATCCTGTTCTGTCTTTGATGCCCCGTGGTGAAAAATCACAGAACATGCTGAGTTGGAGGGGACCCACAAGGATCACTGAGTCCAACTCTTAGCTCTACACAGGACCATTCCCAAGAGTCACCCCACGTGCCAGAGAGCATTGTCCAGACCCTTCCCAAACTCTGGCAGGCTTGTTGCAGGGACCACTTCCCTGGGGAGCCTGTTCCAGTGCCCAAACACCCTCTGGGTGAAGAATTTTTTCCCAACATCTAAGATAAATCTCCCCTGACTCAACTTTATCTCCACCTCTCAAAATCCAGTTCTGTCAGTGCTTCAGTGTTCAAAAAATGGACAAAAAAAGAGTTGTGATAGCAGACAGGGAAAAGAAAAAAAAAAGAACCAAATAAACATATTTTATTGTTTAAATTAGTAGATTTGAAATGGTATTACTGAAAGGTAATACATTGACACCCCCCCTCCCCATCCACAGTTCCCTTTTTACAGCTGCACTTATGAGTTGTACTTAAACTATGGCTACACAGATATTTCTCCCCCCCCTCCCCAGCTGCCCCTTTAATCTTAATTTAAAAACCTAATCTGCCATAAAGGTACATGAAATAGAACAGACTGAGAAAATACTTAAGATTGGCTTTTGTTTACAAAGAAACTATGCAATTACTTATGTGTAGAACAAGAGTTCAAAAACTGGGCTGTATTCTGAAGCTTTTCTTCAAACATCCCTTTTGGATTATGGCTGGAAGGTACTAATTGGTCTATTCTAGGCTAATTTACAAACATTCATAAAATAGTGAAAAATGCATGCTTTAGAAACCTGGTACATTTCATGACTTTGCACTAAAAAGAATCTGAATGTGGAAGCAAGTGAACGGCGTTCTTAATGTAGGTTAGTAGTGCTTAGAGGTTTTTTTCCTTTGTACTAACAGACTCCTCTGATTTTTTCTCATCTCTTTCAGGTGACTTTTTGTCTTCGGATTTAGTCCACGGAAGGCTGTGCAACTTCTGTGGAGGAGGAAACAGCATCAGTGTAAACACTGTGTACGCTATATAAATATATACATAAGCAGATAAAATAGGATGTTTAAAATCCATGGCATTAGTGCACACGGGGCTGTATTTCTGTTAAACTGATGCACCAGTCTTAAACTACAACAGCACAATATGATATTTGCCAGCTGCACCTGGAAAAGGATTCTGATGTCTAATAAAGGAAGCGTATTTAACAATCAAATGCAGCCAAAGTCTGAACTAGGAAAGCTGCCTTCTGAGACAAAATTTAGTGTAGAATGTGCAAATATGCTTCAAGCAATCGCAATGCTTCACAAGACCTTTTAATTAAACCCCAACAGTTACTGAGAAAGAGAGTACCTGAGAGCTTGTCTCTGTTTCTGCTACCTTCAAATGAGATGTCGAATTATTGCGATTCCCCAAACACGTCTTGGCAACCTGTCAATGCAAAAGCCAGAGATAACTGCTTCATATTTTTTCCTAAAATACTGGTTAGGCCAGCTGACAAACTAGTTATGGTAGTTTGCCACCAGCCAAGGTAGGTTCCCAGTTTATTCAAGGACACGTTTTATCAGATCTGCTCATGGATTTGCTGCAGTTCCACGTTTCAAGCTCCTTTAACCCTCCCTGTTTAAAAGGAAGATGCAGAGCAAGAGGTATATGAAGTGTGCACGTGCCTTTTCATAGGACAGCTCTGCAGTTTTTCATGTCTTCCTCCTGTTTTAGAGCACAGTGTACTGGGGGTATGGTTAAACTCACATGATGTAGCTCCACAGTCCTCAGTTAGGGAAGGGAAGTTACTTTAAGAATTTATTTAGTTTGAAATTTTGTTATAGCGATGGTCTCTCTTTTTCTATTATTACTCCCTCGTGAAAACAGTGGGAGAGTAAAATGTGGTCAAAGCTCTGCAGTTGAAACCGAGGGAGAAAAATGTAGCAGAATGCTGTGGTTGCTTAGGAACATGTGGAAGTTTGGCTCCAGTACTCCGTGTCATTTGTCATTGAATGATTAATGAACAAGTAGTGTTTGTTTATTGCAGGAAATTAGTGCAGTAAATAAAAGCACTATCACTTTTATTTATCAGAAAAGACTCCACAAGGACAAAGAGCAAGAGATCTAAGATGAGAACAGAGAACAAAGAATCATGCTGTAAATTGTTGGGTGTTTCAGCAATAGCAAATCGGTAGTTTTAAATTAGATGTTACACTCGTAAGAATTATTTGATATGAAAAGGAAACAAAGTGCATCCTGGTGTAAAAGCCAAAATTAACTCCTGAAAGCTTTTGGGAAGACAGAAAAGGGAAATGATAGAGGGGAAAGACCTCTGCAGAATTCTGGTTCTGCAGAGAGTTTCAAGAGCCAGTTATAGGGCAAACACCTCTGGATAAGGCTAAGAAAAAGTAGTATTGACAAGATTCCCCTAATAAAATAAAATTACTCTAAATAATGGGAACTTTTAAAAGAAAACTGAAGTTAATATTTTTTTGGTCTTTGACAAATTTCGGATTATGGATAACAGGATATCCTACCTACTTCTGGCTACTACAGGTCACGTCAAATTTCATGACAGGTAAATATCTAATTTCTAAATTTGCTGACATAATTTCACCTCTCTGTATCCCATTTGTCAGTAAATATTAATTTGTTTTAATTCTAATGTAAACTACATTAATTACTGTAAACAGGCATAAAAGCATACAGGCAAAATTGCAGTAGGATTACAGACTAAAAAGTATCAGTGGAAACCATCAACTAACCATTTTGCTTTATTTTTTTGCCTTAATATCTATAATATTCCATGGTCTTCTGTAGTTAGTCTTTAGTACAGCAATTCCTCAAAAATATAAATCACGTTTTGTTTATCAGAGACACAATCAGAGTATCTTTGCAAAGTTCTGAGAAAATATTGTTGAATTATTAGGTTTCTAAGCAACAGAGTTTTAAGCACATCTTCATTTATTTTTCTTAAACAAATGGTGAATTGCAACCTGTCATATGTTCTCGACCTTCCAGACTTATTCCTCCTTCATTAGGAGTTAAGCAGCTGTAAAATCTCCAGAAACAAACACAAACCCACAACCAAGTAATGATAAAAATCCAATAAGAACTCTTCCCAAGACTGGAATTTTCTTAAAGTGATAGTCCTCACAGGTAAAAATTAGAGCTTTGCATTACTGAAGTAACAGGATCCTTTGGGAAAATAAATTCCTTCTGGTTCTTTCAGAACTGTAGGTGCATTTCCAATGTCACCATATGAAGGGTAATTGTGGAGAGAGATATTTTTAGCTCAATTTTCAAAACTAACCAATTCAAATTCTTTATTGTCTCTCTCTCTCTATATATATATAAATGCGAGAAATAAATAATAACAATTATAAGGTTGCTAATCCCAGTGTCATCAGCTGCACTATTTTTATGCCCATGTTAGCTCCTGTTCAGAGGGATAAGATCATCATGTATAAGATCAGATGTATAAGATCAAGAAAAAAGTTTCAGTTTAAACAAACAACCAGGAAAATGACTGTAGTCATCAGTGTGAGCAAACCACACTGATGAAAAGAGGCCAAGAATGGACCTTAGACTAATTGGAACAGTTGTAGAAAACATATTTAGTGCTTTAGCTCTCTTTGAAAATTTTACAGCTTTCATTTAGTCAATCCTTCAGTTTACAAGAACATTTTCCCACTTCCATTATTGAACCTCTTGTGGTATTTAAAGGGAAGGGGACTCTGACAAACCGGGATGTTTTATTCTCCCACAATGGCCTCAGATTTTTATAGACAAAAAAGATGTATCATAAAAGTCTCACGTGTAAAGAGAACAGGTCTGCCTGTATTTGAAGTTTTTTAATTACACTGGAGATTCTGTTTCTGACTGGGGTTAATACCACACTATTTATGAGTTCCTTGCCTGGAGATGTGCTTGTCCTCCCAACATTCTTTTTGTAAATTTGCTGTCAAAGCCATTCCTTCAACAGACCCTGCAAGCACAGCATGTTGTGTATGAGTGTGAATCCTGGATTGATCTTTTGTTTTTAAATGTGAACACAATGGTACTATGAATATTACATAATGCCCAATTTTCAGTAGAAAAGCGAATTTATAGCGGGGACATGTTTAGAAGCAAGATAAGACTGAGAAAAACACTGCCTGCTTAATTTTACAATAAGGAGCATTATCTAGCAAGGCACAGTTAATTTGAATACCCTTAAGGTATGCTTTCTTTGATTTTACTACTTTTTCCTCCATGCAGGAGGTTTTGTCAAATACAGACTTAACAAATCTTAAAGATTTAAAGTTTAAAGGGAACGTGAGTCCCATAGAATACAGAATTGGTCTTAAAATATGCTAATTGAGAGATTAAATGATATAAAACTTAATCCTATTAGGCAAATTCAGATATATAGCCTAATTTCTTTTTACTTGAATTATAATGTTACTTAGACAAAAGCAGGGAATAGAGTTAGATTTTAATTTAAATTTGAATCTTGAAAAACGGTTCAACTCATCAACACTTCTAACTCCAATTGCAGTTATCTGCTTTCCCTGACAAATTTCTCATACCCAAGCAGCATTCCTTGCTGACTACACGGCTAAAAAACACCAGTTGCTAGAAGTGCAAAAAGCAACCACCCCTGAATCCAAGAGACCAAATCCTTGATTTTATTTTAAAAGTGTTCCTTTTAGGTGTCTGTCACTGCATTACTTGATAGAGAAATTAAATCCTCTTTTGATTTTTGAAATGTGTTAACAATTTTTTTTCTTTTTCTTTCTCCTTCTCCTTTAATTTATTCACTTCTATAAAAAAGAGTTCTCCGAGCCTCTTTACACAAATTTTCAGCCTAAATAAATTCAGTCTCTACCAAAAGTAATCTACATTTCATCAAACCTCCTGTAAGTTTCCTAAGTGATAACCAACCTCCAGTCATAATCTAAATGGAGTTCACTCTAACTTCCTAATTTTACCTGTTTTTCTTCTCCTCCTTCAATTTTTATTAATAAAATTATGTTTCCTTTACCTTCAGACATTAAGAAACCTGCAACGGCAAATTATGCACTCTTCTGGATATAAAATCCCTCCTCGTCCCTGCCCTCCTCTAAAGGATGTGGCAGAGGGGAAGTAACTTATAACTGAATAAACTTGAGCATATTTGTAATGAATATACTACATGCAGGGGTTTTACCATTTGCTGAATGCTGAATGATCTCAGATTTGTTTTCCAGAGTTTTGGTTCACACTGCTGTGATCACTAACTACCCAGTTACCTCCACAGGAGTTTGTTATATCTGGAGATATAACAATATATTATATATATATATATATATTTCAAATTAGTCAAGGTAGCACTCTACTTTATGGACTACTAAGCGGGCAATCCGTTCTTGCAGCAAATCTTGTCTCTCTCATTTTTTTTCTATGTTTTTTTTTTCCTGTTTTATTTATATTCTTATAATTTTGGCCACAGCACGTGCATTTGGGATTTCTATTAAGAGTTCACATCGTGCTTGAATGAGTCTTTTGTCTCAGCAAAAGCAGATTTAGATTTCTGTCAGCCCTGTCGTAGGAGAAGCACAGCCTGCAGGTTTCCTGGACTGCCAGTGGATGCTGTCACATACTTACAACTATTATGACCTCATCTCTTAGGTTTTGCTCTATTAAATGAATCGGGCTGTGCCTGATTATTAATTTTAAATATACAAATTAATCTTAAATATGTAGATAGATAGATATATCAAAAAGGTTCTGTGTCTCGCTATAATGCAGGAACGCTTCAATCAGGAGATGGTTAAACATGAAACCCCATATTTTCCACCACTGCAAAAGTTCCACCAGTTCTTTTTTAAAAGAAAGCCGGACAGCAAAGAGCATTTGCTCTTCAAGCACCTCAGTGCAGCTGGCTTATAAAATATGTGTGCCATTTAAGATTGGAAAAGTCCCATTGACAGCTGCCTAAGGCATTAATGTTCTCATACAGCCTGGTTTAGACCCCGGTTTCCAGGTGAGTTAATCTTACATCTTGAGAATCACACTCCTGGGTGCTCTGATTTTCTTTGCTTTCCAAGTCCACGTGAAAATTCTCTTTCTCTGCTGAGACATTTCGACGAATCTGGGGAAAAAAGAAATAAAAATTAGAAGAAGCTAATATAGTTGAGACAAAATATCAGTTAAGTCACATTTGAAACATCAGGGTAATGATGAAAAACTGCAAACTGTTAACTACTATACACTGCATTTTCAGCTAATTTTATAAAGGGGATGTCTAATACACATTCTCATTAAAGCACTCCCATATACAGGATCAAGACATTCTATCTAAATGCCATAGGAGGAGTTAAAAAAACCCCAACATTTCCAGAACCCGTATTCCCCTGAGTTCTGTGGATTCTGGGAAAGACTGAGACTCGGAAAAACTGAGTTGACACATTTATGAGCTGATCTATCTTACTTCAGACATCCACAGGCTCTCTCTGCTGGGACCTCCCATCTCTGTAAGCTGGCAAAATGTTCCTTTTCGTGCCTCTCACTTCTCTCCTTGCACTCAAAACGGCCTGCTCTCTGAGTCAGGCACTCTGCAGTCCAGGCTATGGCTTTGTATCAACAGTGAATTTCCTTCCACTGAAATACTGGTTGTTTCAGTGTGGTTTTCTGTATTTCCCTCAAGTTTTAAAATTTAAAGGGACAAAAAAAACCAAAAAAAAACACCAAAACCAAAAACAAAACAAAACAAAACAAAAAAAAAAAGAAAAAAAGCACCAAAAACCACTGAAAGTATCGTTAGGGATTTGGCTTTCATCAAATCATCTGCAAGACATACTGAAACTCTTCGGGGGGGGGGAGAGGGGGTGGAGTCAGGGAAGAAAGCAAAATAATTTCTCTGTAAAGAAAAGTTAGAACTTCAGACCAGCAGTTCTGAAACCTTGAAGCGTCCTTTCTCGTGTCCCTTATTGAACGACTCGATCACACAGAGTTTTCAAAAATGATGGAGGGCAGGAGAAAGCAAACCTGGCAGGTCACTATTTACAATTTAACTTCAGTCATGAAAAACAGTTCAGCTCACAGTTGAAATAAAATAGTTCAAATAGTCTCCGGTTAGCAGCTCTCCAGTGAGGATTTGTTAGTTTTATAGAGCAAGCGACTACCAGGGGAAGAAATGAAGAGGTGAACAGATTAAAAAGATCAATGTAAATAATTGTTAAATAATAAATGCCGTGTGATAAATGTATTGAGTGATTTTTTTTTTCTGTTTGGACTGAAAGAAATGACAGTTCTGCAAACCTTTCTTCCCATTGAATAAAAGAAGGTACAACAAATGATAGGACATATGTTCTATTAATTTCTTGACTACCTGAACCAGAAAATCTACATGGGATGCCAGAGAAATCAGACAGCTCGAAACTTTATTAATTAAGGGGAATAAATGCCTGTGCATTATGTGCTTATCTGCTTGCTGATGATGTGGGAGTCTTAAAGGAAGACTTTGCAAACAGGATCATTGTTATTAAAAATAATCGCTCATAAAAAATTGAACAAGCTATTACTTGTCTGACTGAGACTTATTTACTAGAGTGATAGCTTACCTGATAAAAATGCCATCAAGTATTCCAGAGTGAAATGGTTTGGATACAGATTATGAACTCCTTCCCAATTTACTCAAAACCCTCTGAACCCCCTCAAAGCTTTTCCATACAGAATTTCAAATGCAAACAATTTTTTCTTCAAGGATCACGAAGCTTTTTTTTTTTTTTTTTTCCCAATAATTTGGAAGTCACATCATCTTCCTGGTGAAACCTTACAAGTTTGACTGAAAGCTAAGCTTTGCATTTCAGATACTTAAATAATTGTTTACAATGCACTGGAAACTAGACTCTGTCAATGAGTCCTTTGCTTGCAGAAAAACTTGCAGAATACTTGCAGAGAAGCAAGCCAAACTCCTTATTTCTGTGAGTTATCTTTCAAAGTCTGCACTAGAAAAAATAAGAGCCCAGTTCTGCCTTTTAAAATTCCTTCAATTATGCTTTATATATAATTTTTTTTTAGTTCTATCATCAAACAGCTTCTCTTCTCAAAGCCCGCACTGTTATTATAACACCATCATCTTCACTGCTAAATAAAACCGCAAAATTAGGTCAGCTGAGTTCCATCTTTCAGAAGGTTTTTTAACTTTTTTTTTTTTTTTTACTGAAAGTTCTGCTGGCCCAATCTACAAACATTTAAAAAATACCTCCATCAAAGTCTTTACCTGCCAGCCAGTCTTTAGAGTGCTGGCTGCACTTGCCTGCCCCTCTTGACACTTGTTTGGCATGTTGAGCCAGGCCAGTCTCAGAGATCCCCCTGGGCTGGGGTTGCTTCTCTCACCAACCTCCACCAAGGTTACTCACCAGGTGCTCTGTGGAGGGGCTAAAAATTGGGCACAAGCCAGGCAGGAGTCATCCCCACTTCTCAGGGCACTCAGTTTTCTATTCTTCTGGGACCTGTCTCATCCTTTCGAGATGGGAACAGCCTGCTGTCATGTCTTGGAAATCTCAAATTGCTTGAGGATTTGTAGCACTTACTTTTAAAAAACTAGAGTATTTTTGTATGTAGCAGGTAGAAAAAGCTGTCACAGCTTCTCTGGGCAAGGTGCATGGATCAAGAGCCAGAACTATCACTTTTCCAAAGGCTGTTCAGTTTGACTGCTCCTGGAAAGCAGGGACTTTGCACATCACACACACACAGAGGCCAGCTGCCATGTGACGCCTCACATATTTATTTTGGCCAAGAAAAAGGTGCTAATCTTATCACTTTTTCTTTTCCCCTTCTTTTTTGAGTAGCACCACTTGCAATTACAAAGGCCCACAGGATCATTTTGGAGTGTATGACAGACTTTCATCTTGCACTCCTAGCCCCACAAATATCATGTCTATTGTATCTTTCCCCAACAGAAATCACAGATAAATATGTATTAATATGTATATAGCATTAAAAAATTAATTGCATTGCATTTCTTTATATCCTGATTTAAAAATCTTCCACAGTAACACACATGTTAAAAAAAAAAAGAGAATAATAACAACAATAATAAGAGTATATATTTCTATATGACTGATGGTCACTGCATATTTATATACATATATTTGGTGTGTTTTGAAATAGAGATAACTGGCTTTACTGCACAGTCATTATTCAACAGTAAGTGTGAAAGACGTGCTTTAGTTTTTAACCCTGTTTAATGTAAATCTACAGAGATACATTTATACAGGGTAATTTAAAGGACTGCAAATCCTACGATATAGCAGATCTTTAAATTTCTATACACTGTTTCTAAGTAAATACATTTGCCCCGATGATTTCCTTTTTTTTTTTTTTTTTTTCAATTTGCACTCTATTCAAATAGCTTTAAGGTGGAAAAGAGATGCTTATTTTTATGTCAACACTGAATATTCAGCACAACCCTAAGAAGTTTGCAAGTAGTCTAGAACAACCTCACTTTCATCAGGAGTGGAAATTGTCAGAATATCTTTAACATGAACACCAACATTTTATCTATTTCACATTTCACAGGCCTTTGTGTTGGTTGTAATGGAGTTTCCTCAAGATGAACACTCACAATGAACTCAAGTGGCTGAACATCCATCAGAGTGAAAGGACTTTTCTTTCAAATAGATCATTTGGGGATGATAGATGACGTATTTAGCTGTCCAATTCCTGAATCATCCTTTTCATAGAGTTACTATGAGTGCAGAATTTTCCCTCATACATGGAGCTGCCTGCCAGCAGTATATTACGTTGGACATTATATACATTATTGGTTTAAATGTTTTCTTTTTTAAGGGTTCTGGAGTCCTTTTTCCATGCATGTTGTGCACTGAATTCTGCTGGGGTTTTTTCTCTAATACAGTTCATTTGAGATAATTTCAGTACATGTTTTCTAAGAGAACCTTAAACCAACATTTCTAGTTGCCTCACTTCCTTGGAACAACTGCAGTTTCTTATTTGTATTTCCATGCAGTTGAGGGGGTGAAAGTCCTTATGAAAAGGTATAAAATGTTTTTTTTTTTTTTTTCTGGATCAGTAGGAACAGTTCTGTGATGATTCATTGTACCTCAGTTTTCAATAGAGAGTCAGAATGATGTATTTAATTCTGTTTAACTACAAACAAGATAGAGGATGTCTAAGTCACACGCTTTAAGAAGAATAAACAAAAATAAACAAACCAAAATTCTGGTAAGTTTATGCAAGAGAAAGAGGTAAAATAACCTAAATTAAATGAAAACAAAACCAGAAATGCTTTTCCTTGTATTAAACCTGGGAAACTCATAAATAATAATCTATAATAAACTGAGGACAAAACATCACCATCTTCTTATCTCATAGTGTATGTTGGTATGAAATATATAAGACAATGAAAAACTGAAATTCTTGGAGTCAGCTGTTTAGATTGGCTGCTCAGAAAAACTCAATATTAAAGAGAACCCCCATACGCCACAAAATTTTGTGACCTAGTGAAGTTTAAACATTTACAGGCAGAATTATATTTTAATCAATAATGACCAACATAAATGTATTTCTAAGTTGTGCTTAGTGCACACAGACCCAAACGTGTGCCTCCTTATGACTTAGAAAGAAACTAAACTAAGAAAATAAATAATTTGAAGTGCAAACTGATAAAGTGTGGTGACAAGAGAACTAACCTGTATAAGTCTAAGACACATTAAAAGTTTACCATGGAGGATATGCAAGTGTGTACTGTGTCCAGGGCAATTCTACTGCTGCACACTGCTGAGCAGCTACACGAAAGATTCTTAATAAAAAAGACATTTGTAATTTTCTGCAGATGACAGAACTGAGAGGCTGCACACAAAGTACTCTATCACATAAGAAAAACTACTGAAATTTGAGAACAGATGGCATTCCAACATTACTTGAAACGACACTGCAGCAAAACCCCAGCATGAAATCCAGCTATTCAACTTCGTGGGTCACTGAGCACTAACATTTTCCAAATGAGTCCCAATTACAAGGGCACCTGAGCCCCATAATTTTATGCTAATACAATGAAAAATATAATATATTTAGCATCATGCATCTTCCTAATTTCTCATTTATTATCTGCAGGAATTTAACCTA